AGGTAGTCTCCCTCTGTCCCAGCATTGTTGCAAGTTTCAATGAAATGGGCGACATGTTGCTTCGGGTTGCCTTTTCCATCGAACTGCATGAATTTTGGGGGCTGATAACCCCTTGGTATCTTCAAAGCATCAATCTTCTTGGAGTAAGGCTTTGAGTATAGTACGGAGTCATGCGAGCTTCCTTCGTACTGTGTCTTGATAGTGCTTGCGATCATCTCATGTAGCTCCTGGATAGAGAGAGATCCCATGGATGTCGTTGCTTGGTCTAGCTTCGGCTTCTCTTCGACTTTCTCCGCTGGTGGCTCCTCTTCTTCGTCGCCTTCTTTCTTTAATAGGCCAACAATTGGGTCGACTTTCACGTCGGGCAGCGCATCTAGTTGGTTGACAAGTGCGGCAATCTGCAAGTCCTTCTCTTCCACAGTTCGTGTGAGCTTTGCGATTGCTTCATTCATCTGAGCTAGCTGCTCCTCGATTGAAGTTGCTCCCGTGGTCATGACTTGCATGGTTGTACTGCCGCTTGAATCAGCATCGGAGAGTAGGGACTCTGAGTATTTCTTTGGGCTCTCCCCTTTTGATGCCCTTAGCGAGGCTAGGGTGATCACAGGCTCGTACCTCAGGTGCTCTTGTTCATTTGACAGAGTTAATGCAGGGGCGGAAGCCGCGGCAAAAAGATCTCTTGCCTTACTACGGGTTATGATGACCGAAATATTACCACTTGCGGCGATGATGTTCTTGTTCTTTGCTTTGATTGCAGGAACAGCTTGATCCTTTCTTGATGCCATTTGAGTTTTTTGATGATTTGAGGATAGAGATGAGAGGTAGAGATAGTCCCACTGGGCGTGCCAAATTTGTAAACATGAATAATTCCTGAAACAAGCGACAAGAATACGTGTACAAAATATATTTTTTGTATTAAAGATTTTGGGGTTACAATCTCTTTGTAATTTGGTCCTCTGATTCTATCTTCGTAGGGTGTGGGTTTGTGGATGAGTTGTTGATCCAAAGGGCCGTCGGGGCTTGATCTAAGGATGAACAGTTGATGAATGGATCTTCAAGGGGCGTTGGGCTTGATCTTGAAGAATGGGTGTATGAGTTTGTTGGGGTTGTTGATCCAAAGGGCCGTTGGGGCTTGATCTTAGGATGAACGGATGATGAATGATGAACACTTTCTTCAAGGGGCCGTCGGGGCTTGATCTTGAGTTGGTGGGAGTTCTTCAAGGGCGTTGGGGCTTGATCTTGAAGGTTGATTTGACGAAGAACGCAGAGTGATTTCTTGATCCTTCGGGATTTGCTTGAGAGCTTTAGAGTTTCAAGGCTTCTTTCTTTCTTCCTTCCTTCTTTTCTTCTTTTCCTTCTTCCTTCCCCCAAAATGAATGCCTTGGCTTCCTATTTATAGAATTCCAAAACTTGATTTTTGGATTTAAATAATCAGATGAAATAAATCATTTCTGCCAGGTATTGACACGTGTCCTATTTGATGACTTTTCCAGTTTATTTCGATTTTTCGTTGAGTCACACGCTACATGTAAAATTTATGTGATACGTGAGCATTGAAATTTTAATTATTGGTCAACATTCATTACACCGAAATTTTGATGTCTACAAATGCCCCCACTTCAAGGCGCGTCGTAGACATGTGCTTGTCACGTGTAGAAGATGCGTTTTGAAGTCCCTTAATGTAGATGTCAACCCAAGGGCCGTCGAGGCTTGATCTTGAATTGGGCTGGAGGATTCTTTTGGTCTCCCCCTATCGTTGATTTTCCTTTGTGCTACTTTAAATTGGGTAGCAGGATTCAGACACATGGCAGGCAAGCACGAGGTGGAAGTGATGACCTGTTTCTTTGTTCAATCTTTCTAATTCGTATTGAAGAGGGTAGATCGGAAGACTGACTCCAAGTGCCGGCTGATTGCTCTTTTCACTTTGCTATGCGAGTAAGAACAAGGACAAAGGAAAGGACATGGAGAAAGCATGATATGAGATACCTTTGCTTTTGAAGAAGCAGCTAATGAATCAGCATATATATTTGCTGTGTTTGTCTCCACATGCTTTGATGTATCATTTTCACTTGCCTTACTTGCTCCCTTTGCAGAAGTGGTATTTCCTTATGCAGGTTTGACATCTTCTCGTGTAGTATTTGTCCTCTGATGCAGGAGTGGAATGCAACCTTTGCATTTAAATGGTACTTCAAAACATTACTTCTCCGCGACGATGAGTACTCGAGAGCAATGCAAGGTAAGCAACCAGGCAAAGGTTCCAGGCAATCAGTTCCAGGTCGGAAGTTTGATTTCAGGTTCCAACTGATAACTCTATTTCCCTTTGTCCTGCAGGTAAGAGCAAGGGTAAAGGAAAAGACAGGGAAAAAGCATGATATGAGATACCTTTGCTTTCGCCCTTGATGATATGAGATACTTTTGCCTTGGTGTCATTTGTTTGCAAGGGTATTCCCGGAGAGGAAGAAAACTGAGCATTTTGAGATGCTTTGCTGGGAGTGCGCCCTCAGAGGTGAGGAAGAGTTGGACATTATCTTCAGGTCTGCCTTGCCATAAAAGATGAAGGTCGACATATATAGGGATTTCCCAATAGCAAGTGGTGGTACTGTTCTTTTACCCTTGTCGACAAACGTTTTGATCCCGCAAATCCGGCTTTTTGAAATAGTGACGACTCTTCGATCTTTGAATACGCCTCTTTGATTTCTGAACGACGCCTCTTCGATTTCTGAACGGGCGCCTCTTTTGACAAAGCTGCACGCGTTTTCTGAAAAGCAGAGAAAGCGTCGCCGAACTTTGCGCTTGTCAGCTAAAGATGTGTAGCTGCCATGATGACCTCCACGTGATCTTTTGACAAAGTGGCACCCGTGCTCTGAAAAGCCGAGAAAGCGTCGCCAACCTCCACGTGATCTTTTGACAAAGTGGCACCCGTGCTCTGAAAAGCCGAGAAAGCGTCGCCTAACTTACGCTGGAAAATCCAGCTTTTGAGATTTGCAGAGCGATGTCTCTTCACTTTTGAATAAGCGGCCCTTCGATTTCTGAACAAGCGCCTCTTCCTTTTTATAGAGGTATTGATCACCTCTAACATGCACACTTTGAAGGTTGCTCATTCCTGAAAATCATCTCCGGCCTTTTGAGTTTTAACTCCATCCACCCATCTCTTTTAACACCTTTGAAAAAAATGGCTAACCCATCGAACCTTAGCTTAGAATTGAGTCTCAGCAGTGATCCGGTTGCGCCGCGTCAAGGTAATGTATGGTGCCCGTCTTTCTTATCTCCTAACGGTCCTCTTACAGGTGAAGACTCAGTGATGCAGGATGCAACAACAGCTACAATAGTAGCTAGGAATTTCCTCACACCAAAAGATAGTAGGCTGCTTTCAGGACGGTCCGATGAGTTGGCCGTTCAAGAGTCCCTTGCTTTTAGTGTTCAGTGTGCGGGCTTTGTGTCCAACATGGGCCAACGCCTGCTTGCTCGGTCCCGTCAGGTGGAATCATTGATGGCAGAGAAGATCTTAAGCAGGAGATTAAACAGTTTAAGTACGAGAATAGAAGTTTGCATGTGCTTGCAAATAACTATTCGTCGGGCATGAAGAGGAAGCTTGATGAGATGCAAGAATCTCAAGGTCGCATTCAAAGTGACCGTCAAAGGCTTGCGTCTTTCTTCCAGAGGCACATTTTTCCGGCGTCATCAAGCGTTCCACCAAGTATTGGGGCCTCGAATGATCTATCTTCGTTGCTTCCCGCTCCTGGAGTTTGGCCAAGTAGTGGGGCTTCACGTGAACAACCTTTGTGAAAGCTCCATCTTTCTCTTTCTTTGTTAGATACATTTCTTTTTTTTTTTTTTTTTTTTTTTTTTTTCGCACTTGTAATTTCTCGAAAATCAATGAACATGCTTCGTTTTATTTAGTGTATTGTGCTAAATACAGAGAAAACATGTACATCACCAAGATTTTGTTTTTTTTTTTTCCCGGTGGCACTGATCCACCATTCACTTATATATATATATATATATATATATATATATATATATTTCAGATGGTGCCAGAAGCACCACCATTATTATTATTTTTTTTCTATATATTTTTTCTTTTTGCACATGGTTCCAGAAGCACCATCATTGTTTTTATTATATATATATATATATATTTTTTTTTTTTTTTCTTTTTAATTTTTTTATTATTCTTTTGAAAGATGCTTCCCGGCATCATCATTTTTTTTTTCTTTATATGGCCATCTGCAAGGCTGAGTTCGTGGGTGAAAACCCAGGCGAGTCCGAGAGAAGACGGAGGAAATCTTTGGGTGTGAGTTGACAAACTTTGATTTTGTCAATCACATTCAAAGGCAGCAGCGGAGGCAAGCAGACGGATGAGATCTTTGGGTGTGAGTTGACAAACTTTGATTTTGTTGATCACATTCAAAGGCAGCAGCCATGGCGGAGGTGCAAAAGCAGCCAGAGGCAGAGCGTAAGGCGTCGAGTTTGAAAACTGGCTAGTCGTTTGACGGCGGTCAATGAAGCTCTTCGTTGATTTTGATCATGGTGGCCAGAGTGACGAGCTTGAGGTTTGTTGGCAGCGTGAGGAGACAGAGGAAGAAGCTCCGCCATCACCATTGAGCACAGGCAAGGAGCACAGCCACTGAGCACAGGTAGCAGTGAGTTCCCATATGTCGCCCCTTAGCGAAACACACCAGTTTCCAATGGATTTTAGTCCAGCGCAGGTAACCAGGCAACCGTCTAATTTGATTGACTGCAACGTTGGAAGCTTTTCCAAACTATCAGCAAGAGCAAGAGTCACAGGAGAGACAATACGAGTTGCTCTAAACATCCTTCACTACAGCTCGCTAGGGCGGACAACCCAACATGACTAATGTTCTGACAGCTAGATATCTCAAGTTTCTTAAGCGACTTGCACCTATGTTTGAAGGTAGAAAGGCCGTCATCGTCGATGTTGAGCTTGAAGTGGAGGAGTTACATGGATGGGGAGGAAGGAGTGCCTTGCCGTGTTCCCGGTGTTTGATCAAGTTATCCCTCAATGTCCTCCCCAATGGATCAACTTGCTTGCAGCACTGTTCTCCATATCTTGAGTCATGATGGCTGGATAAAGCAACATCTGGGTCCAATATATCTCTACTGTCGATGACTATATTGTGAAGCAAACAACATACCAAGATAATGCTTGGAAGTTTTTGTTTTTTTTTTTTTTTTTTTGTCAGGTCTCCACATAACCTTGCTGAGGATTCTCCAAAAAGGCCAATAACTTGTCAAAGTTTCTTTTGCTGTGCAACAGAATGCCTCCTCGTGCATATATCTCTAACAACTTACTTGGCGAAACAAATGCTTGACATGAGATTGAAAGTTGTTGATGAATAAACTCCATAATTGTTGATGGTGATAACCCCTTCTCAAGATTGTCTATGATGATCATATGCGGCACCCAGAGGTGGTCCAGCGGGCACAGGTTCTTGGTTTTAAGTCTGACCCACGGCTTGCCCTTGCCGCTCCAATGGAGGAGACTGACCGGACCAGGGTGCAAAGACCGGCAGCTGCCTCTGACATTGTCGCCGCCGAGGCCGTGTTGGTTCCACCGGTGGTCTATGGCCTCCACGTTGCCAGCGAAGACGAGCAGGAACGGCGGCAGAGAACCCAGCTCGTAAATCCTTCTTTTCCTCTGTAATTCCATCCAGTTCTCGATCCTCTTTCGGTAATTTCCTTCCCTCCACCTCACCAGGTCCATCACCATCACACCGGTGTTGAAATAGCAGGGGTTTCTTGACGAGAAAACCCGGGAGAGAATCGGGTCGGACCAGAACCCGTCGATGAAGTACTTGGTAAAGTTGGCGTGGCAATACTCCGGTGCTTCGATGACACGCGACCCGGTGAGCGACATGTTCCAGAGCTTGTGAATGTCGTCGACCACAACCACGTCGGAGTCCAAGTAAATGACCCGGTCCACGCACTGGCCCAAAATGTCGCCCAGGTAATTTCTCGCGTAGTTGAGCGGGTTCTCGAGCGCCTGCCGAATCGACGACGAGATGAGATTAATAACGGTGTCCTCCTGGAACATGTAAACCTTGATATTGAGGGAGGGGAAGGAGTAGCAGAAATGGTGGGTGGAGGCCACCTTGCTCCGGGTGTGCGCACCATGTGTAGCAGGTGGATTCTGCTTTAGTTCTCGGAGCTGTGCTCTTAATGGATCCAACCTTGACATACTTGCTCATGAACTTGTATTCCCAATCCTGCAAGGCCTCGAGCTCGAATGGACCAAGACCCGAGATATCACCAGTCAGATCTTTGTCTTCAAAAGACATTTTAGCAAGAGCTCGGCTAGCATCTTTGCCTGTGAACAGAGCATACGGCCCACCAGGTCCATAAAACATCCTGCTTTTGCCAAACGAGCTTCTGCTCAAAAGCCCTTTTGCTCTCCTCGTGCTGATTGTGCTGAAATTTCTTGGTGGCCTGCTCCAACTCATTCAAAACCTCCATTTCGCTGTACAAATTGGAAGTAGCATTGACATACCTCTCCATTTTTTTTTTTCACCATACCCTCCATGTCTTTTACCAAAAACCCCAACTCCTTCACATCAATGACCCTATTAACGAGGTCGGCATAGACATGCTCGAACCCCTGCAGAGCCGGCTCGACGCACCGCTTCCCGAGCCTCCCCACAACGGCGGCGACCCGGTTTAGCTCCTCCAGCTTCTCCATCATGGCGAGCTCGAGAAGATAGGCCTCGTTGGCGGAGACCAGGTTGAGCACTCCCTCGGACTTCAAGATCTCGTTTTTGAGCTTCGAGATCTCGGAGTCGGTGAGAGACTTGTGGAGATGGACGGTCTTGGACATGACATTGGCGACCTCGAAGGAGAGAATGCCAACGGTCTGCTTCTGGGTTTTGGCGTCGGCGGCGGGTTGAGATTTGGGAACTACTGATTTTTTCGAAGGTTGAAAAGGAAGAGCGTGCTTCAGATTGGAGCTTACCTGGTTACCCATCTTCAAAATCCAAGGCTCTGCAACCATTGCTGCGAAGATCCGGATCTCAAAGTAACTGGGTCGGGCCAAAACGCCGGCGGAAACCCGATTTCATGCTCGAAATCTCGGTACCCTTTTAAGCTGGCCTGCTATGGCGGTGAATGGAAGGTGAGATTTTGCCGGCGAAAGCAAGAACAGAAGAAGGAAAGCAGAGAGGGGTTGGAGTGTTCTGGGCGACGGCCGTGAAGCAAATTGGGATCCTGTGGAGGTCACGGGCGTTGCCCCGGAGCGTGAAGGATGTGCGCGTGGCCCTCTCCATGCTCAGGAACTTTTTGCACACAAGGGAGAGCGAGTTCCTGGTCCGGGTGTCGGAAACTAAGGTGATGACGGTGGAGAGTATGGGCTCCGGCAGGTCATTGATGGTGGTTGTTGTTGGGAATTCGAATGTCGGCGAAGGATTGGATCTGGAGATCTGAGAGGGACTCTGTGATTTTTGGTTTAGGGAAGGAGAGGAGGTTGATTTGAGTGATGGGTGTCTTGGAGCCGAGTAATGATGGGCTTTGAGAGCTGGGCCCGGATTTGTAGCTGGGCTCGCTGACTTTGGAAAGAGGAGTAGAAAGTTTTGGAGCCGGCCTCCTTTTTTATTTTTTATTTTTTATATTTTATTTATTTATTTTTTATTTTTTTTTATTTTATTTTTTTTTTGATAGAGAATATATATTTTTTCTAATACATAGTAACATATGTATTTTCTTTTCTTTTCTTTTGTAATAAAATTGACTTTCTTTAATGAAACATTTATTTATTTATTTTGATGTGACTGTACTTGAAGTTTTGAATTTTCAAGTTGCCTACGTACTCTCCCAAAGAAGAGATCAAGTCATAACGTAGTTCAAATGGGTGATGGTTTTGATGATGATTTTGATGATGATTTTGCCGTACACAGTTTATGCTCTTGCGGGCCAGGAGCGTTTGGTGCCGTTTGCAGTTTCAGCTCGTGCAGGCAAGGAGCGTTTGTTGTCGCCTTTTATGCTCGTGCGGACAAGGAGCTTTGGCTATCGCCTTTTAGGCTCGTGCGAACGAGGAGCTTTTTTTTTTGAATTTGTCAAACGATCTTAGAGAGGCATTCCTTGCAATCTTTATAGCAAGGAGTCTTGACCGAGTGATTGAAGAAGTCTTTGGGGAAGAAATCGCGCATCGTGATGGCAACAGACGATCTTTGTGTCATAACTTCGTCATCCTCCACACTTTCATGTGGCTTTGAAGGTTGACGGTAGCTGCTTTGCCCCCTTTCCGATTGGTGAACTTGTGGAGGAGACCTATGTTTCTTGTGCATTTTCTTTGGAGTGACATAAGTCCATCCTTCAACTTCACTTGACTTGACTGACATGGTTTTGGAGCATGCCCCCAGCGGTTGAGGTGAAGATTTCGAGTTCAAAGAGCCAGAAGTGACGGTGGTATAGTTTGACTTCACCACATCATTAAGATCTAGCTCGATGATCCCTTTCTGAGCCAACTTCATGATGAGATCTTTTAGCACAAAGCACTTTTCCGTCGGATGACTAATGAAGCGGTGGAATTTACAGTACCTTGGACTGTCAGTATGGTTCATATCTTCTGGCCGTTTGCACTCAGGTAGGTCGATCACCTTTTTGTCAAGCAAGTCTTTCAACATGGCAACCACGTCAGAGTCGGGGAATGGATAAGTCTTCTCCTCAAGCTCCTTCAAAGTGCGTCTACGTATCTCTTGATCACAAAAAGCTTCGGTTTGAATCGCCTTGCTTCGTGTAGGGATTTTGACTGGAGTTGTGTTGACCGTCATTGCTTCCTTGGTGGGTTTCCATGTAGCCTTATCCACCTTTGGCCCCAAAACTTTGTCATTCTTGTAGTCAGCGATCTGTTCTTTCTTCCCATGACGGGTGATGCTTAACTCCATATCATGGGCGCGGGTGGCTAACTCCTCAAATGTTCGTGGTTTGATGCCTTGAAGGATGTAGTGTAGTCCCCACTGCATGCCTTGAACGCACGTCTCAATGGCAGAGGTTTCAGAAAGCCGATCTTTGCAATCCAGACTTAAGGAGCGCCATCTATTTATGTAGTTGACGATAGGTTCATCTCTCCACTGTTTCGTACTGGTCAGCTCTAGCATGCTTACAGTACGACGAGTGCTGTAGAAACGGTTGAGGAATTCCCTTTCTAGCTGGTCCCAACTGTTGATAGACTCAGGTTCGAGGTCAGTGTACCAGTCAAAAGCGTTACTTTTCAGCGAACGCACGAACTGTTTGACGAGGTAGTCTCCTTCTGTCCCAGCATTGTTGCAAGTTTCAATGAAATGGGCGACATGTTGTTTCGGGTTGCCTTTTCCATCGAACTGCATGAATTTTGGGGGCTGATAACCCCTTGGCATCTTCAAAGCATCAATCTTCTTGGAGTAAGGCTTTGAGTATAGTACGGAGTCATGCGAGCTTTCTTCGTACTGTGTCTTGATAGTGCTTGCGATCATCTCATGTAGCTCCTGGATAGAGAGAGATCCCATGGATGTCGTTGCTTGGTCTAGCTTCTGCTTCTCTTCGACTTTCTCCGCTGGTGGCTCCTCTTCTTCGTCGCCTTCTTTCTTTAATAGGCCAACAATTGGGTCGACTTTCACGTCGGGCAGCGCATCTAGTTGGTTGACAAGTGCGGCAATCTGCAAGTCCTTCTCTTCCACAGTTCGTGTGAGCTTTGCGATTGCTTCATTCATCTGAGCTAGCTGCTCCTCGATTGAAGTTGCTCCCGTGGTCATGACTTGCATGGTTGTACTGCCACTTGAATCAGCATCGGAGAGTAGGGACTCTGAGTATTTCTTTGGGCTCTCCCCTTTTGATGCCCTTAGCGAGGCTAGGGTGATCACAGGCTCGTACCTCAGGTGCTCTTGTTCATTTGACAGAGTTAATGCAGGGGCGGAAGCCGCGGCAAAAAGATCTCTTGCCTTACTACGGGTTATGATGACCGAAATATTACCACTTGCGGCGATGATGTTCTTGTTCTTTGCTTTGATTGCAGGAACAGCTTGATCCTTTCTTGATGCCATTTGAGTTTTTTGATGATTTGAGGATAGAGATGAGAGGTAGAGATAGTCCCACTGGGCGTGCCAAATTTGTAAACATGAATAATTCCTGAAACAAGCGACAAGAATACGTGTACAAAATATAGTTTTTGTATTAAAGATTTTGGGGTTACAATCTCTTTGTAATTTGGTCCTCTGATTCTATCTTCGTAGGGTGTGGGTTTGTGGATGAGTTGTTGATCCAAAGGGCCGTCGGGGCTTGATCTAAGGATGAACAGTTGATGAATGGATCTTCAAGGGGCGTTGGGCTTGATCTTGAAGAATGGGTGTATGAGTTTGTTGGGGTTGTTGATCCAAAGGGCCGTTGGGGCTTGATCTTAGGATGAACGGATGATGAATGATGAACACTTTCTTCAAGGGGCCGTCGGGGCTTGATCTTGAGTTGGTGGGAGTTCTTCAAGGGCCGTTGGGGCTTGATCTTGAAGGTTGATGGATGAGCGGATCTTCAAGGGCTTTTGGGCTTAATCTTGAAGAACGATTGGATGTGTGGATTTGTTGAGGTTGTTGATCCAAAGGGCCGTTGGGGCTTGATCTTAGGATGAACGGATGATGAATGATGAACACTTTCTTCAAGGGGCCGTCGGGGCTTGATCTTGAGTTGGTAGGAGTTCTTCAAGGACCGTTGGGGCTTGATCTTGAAGGTTGATGGATGATGAACGATGAACACTTTCTTCAAGGGGCCGTCGGGGCTTGATCTTGAGTTGGTGGAAGTTCTTCAAGGGCCGTTGGGGCTTGATCTTGAAGGTTGATGGATGATGAACACTTTCTTCAAGGGGCCGTCGGGGCTTGATCTTGAGTTGGTGGGAGTTCTTCAAGGGCGTTGGGGCTTGATCTTGAAGGTTGATTTGACGAAGAACGCAGAGTGATTTCTTGATCCTTCTGGATTTGCTTGAGAGCTTTAGAGTTTCAAGGCTTCTTTCTTTCTTCCTTCCTTCTTTTCTTCTTTTCCTTCTTCCTTCCCCCAAAATGAATGCCTTGGCTTCCTATTTATAGAATTCCAAAACTTGATTTTTGGATTTAAATAATCAGATGAAATAAATCATTTCTGCCAGGTATTGACACGTGTCCTATTTGATGACTTTTCCAGTTTATTTCGATTTTTCGTTGAGTCACACGCTACATGTAAAATTTATGTGATACGTGAGCATTGAAATTTTAATTATTGGTCAACATTCATTACACCGAAATTTTGATGTCTACAATGACATGTCTTGAAATATATATCTTTCCAAGAGTAAGTTCAAAGCATATATATCCCTTATAGGTGGAGGCATATCCCAAAAAGAGACATTTTGCAGACTTAGGTTGTAATTTGTTGCTGTTATAAGGTTGTAAAAGTGGAAAACAAGCACAACCAAAAACCCTTAAGTGCTGGATTTCAGGAATAGCAGAATATAAAAGTTCAAAAGGTGACTGATTTTGAAGAATGGAAGATGGCATTCGATTGATCAAGTAGATGGCAGTTTGGCATGCAAAAGACCAAAACTTAGAAGGTAAATGTGCATTTTGTAACAAAGTAAGAGCTGTTTGAACTACATGTTTGTGTTTTCTTTCAGCCAAGCCATTCTGTTCAGGTGTATAGGGAATGATTTATGATGAGAAATGCCATGTTGAGCAAGAAAGGACTGCATAGGTTTACAAATATATTCACCCCCCCCATCACTTTGTAATATCTTAACTCTTGCTGAGAATTGAGTAAAGATAAAATGGTAGAATTTAACAAACACTGAACACAGATCAGATTTATTTATTAAGGGAAATAGCCAGCAGAATCTGGTACACTCATCAACAAAGAGGACATAATACTTGAACCCATCCACAGATACACTAGGTGCAGGTCCCCACAGATCACTATGAACAATTTCGAATGGTATTACAGATTTTGTAGAGGTATGAGAGAAAGGAAGTTTACTAAATTTCCCTTCTAAACAACTTTGACAAACAGTAGGTGACACATTTGTTTTAACAGCAACTTTTGACTTTCGAATGATAAGAGAAACTATGGGATTAGAAGGGTGACCTAGTCTGCAATGCCATAAGGTTGAATTCACAGTATGTCCAAGAAGAGCAACAGGTGGATGAACTTGTAGATGAGATGATGAACCTGATGGTAAATGAGGAAAAGAAGGAA